CCCCTGAAGTCTGTTGCTGGTGTTCTGTGTGAACAGATCAAAACATCTTTAAACCTAATAATAGTGACTGGTGTTTTTCCATCTCCCACATCCACTTTTGTTCTTTTTGCTGTTAATATACACAACACACACTCCTTTTATTTTTGTTACGGACTGACCTAGATAATATTCTGATAACAGAATGTTTTACACCAGCATCTATAGTCTTCAATGAAAACAGATGAAAAACTGTGCCTTAATAATCATCACAGTCATTATTATTGTTACAGGTTGCTCTGTGCATTAATACATGTGAACAGACCGCCCACTGCTGGTGAGATTAGATGATGTGTTTTTTAAATGTTTCCTCATAATTCAGTGATTGAGATGTAAACAGAGCGATTCAGAGTGGTTTGGTGTGAAATGGTTCAGATGTCTTTACAGTGGTGGTGATAGGAACCAGGGGTCGCCATGACTACAACACAAATATAGACATTTTATTTACTATCCAGAACCACCAGTGAACCTACACGAGTCTTCTGAGTTTATATGGAATGTTGATGATGGAAAATAGTGGAAAATCTGAAATTGGGAACTACATTGCCCTGCATTTATCCCTCCACCCTGAATATATTAAAATATGTGTTTTAGGCCAAAATCTATCAAAACTATCACAAAAAATGTTTCAGACATCAGTGAGACTTTCTGTGAGGGAGCTTTTAGAGGTGGCCCTCTGGTTCCTATCACCACCACTGTGAACAGTTCTGACTCAGTAAGTTTATCTAGAACAGCGTTTCACACTCTGAACGTTAAAGGCAACAAGTTTTTTGGTTGTACAGATCTTTTAACTAGTCCAAAATAAGAAAATCTAGAATTCATATTTAGTTTTGGAAATGTTTTAGGTTGATGTTTTTGGGCTGTTTTCATGTATAAAAGACTTTTTTTTTCAAAGCTTAACATGCAGACATCACAAAATCTTCAAAAGTACAATTAGATGTCACCTTTACATGCCAACGAGTTATTTGGAAGCCTTTGCTGTCATTAAACTACAAACATACTATTGATGAACTGTCAAATAAGACAAAAATCGACCCGTTTCCATACAAAAGGATGGGTTGTGCAGAAAGTCTTACACGATGGGAAATCCCATTGCAGACTTTTGGGTGGGCACTGCAGATGAAGGTTGTGCATGTCTTTAAGGAAATGACTGTTAAAAAGCAAAAACAACACATCATTAAGCATGGATGAAGAGCAATCTTTATTCAACAGGTTCTACAGGAACCGTTGCACCTTTGACACAGAACACCGCACCAGATCAACCAGTCAGACAACATTTTCAACTTGGCTCTAATATACTGAATGGTCTCCTAGCTCGCTGGCTCATAGTCCATCATTCAATGTTCTGGCACAGAAGTCAGAACCATATCTGAAGGCTGTCTATCTTGCAATCACAAGTCTACCATTGACCCATATGGTACAAACCCACAATCCTGAATCCTGTTAAGTGAAGGCCATTCTTGACAATGAGCATGGGATCAAGAAACCAAAAATAAACAACTGTTCCAGGCATAAAAGAGTGTGCTGGGATCTGGCTTCACAACTGCAAATTAGGTAAAAAAATGTCAATGGCAAAGGAAATGTAAAATGTCTTCATAGGGTCATAATTGGATAACATAGGTTGGAGTAAAGTGTCTCATCTGATCATGCTGCACAACTATAAAAAACGGAAAAACATCTAAAAATAAACTCGCTAGTGTTATTCCAACAGCAAAACCTGTTTTGTAACTTCAGACCATGATTTCAACATGGTGGTGATAGTATGAGGGAAGATTGATTGAGGGAGGGGGAGAACTCTGAGAACTTTGGCTGGAGTTCTGGGCAGCTTCTGCCTGTAGCTGGAAGGCCAGACCCCCTCATAGCTGTAGTAGGACTGATGCAGGACTAAAGCACACTGAGCTGTCATCGGTATGAAAAGTGTTTCATAAACAACACACACACATTTTCTAAACAGCTCATACTTCTGGGTCGCAGGGGGTGCTGGAGCCTATCCCAGCTGTCATTGGGTGGAAGGCAGGATACACCCTGGACAGGTCGCCAGTCCATCACAGGGCAGACAGACAGACATACACATTCACACACACACTCACACCTAGGGGCAATTCAGCACGTCCAATAGGTCTGACTGCATGTCTTTGGATTGTAGGAGGAAACCCACACCGTCACGGGGAGAACATGCAAACTCCACACAGAGAGGACCCTGGTCGCCCAGGCGGGCATCGGCAGCTCTGTGGTGCGGTGGGTAGCGCTGTCGCCTCACAGCAAGAAGGGCTTCATTAATAAAGATATTATTATCATCATCATCATTAACAACTGTTAGCTTTAGGGCAGATCCTCTTTTTAATACAAATCTATGAAGTGGTAAAGAGTTACCTGCTCTGTAGTTTTGTTTCACACTATGTTCTTTGGTTGATTATGCAAACAACTCTGGAAACTGTGGAACAGGACAGAAGCTCATTTGAAGTGTTTCAAATCTACGTGAGATACTGATTTTGCTCATCTGAATTAAAATTTTACTGCAAATTATTTTGATTGAAATTATTTAATTTCAAAATGCAAAAATAGTTCAGTTGCTTGTTAGCAAATCCCTTTTTTTAGTTGAACCGACAGACTTTTTTTACACTGAATGAAAAAACAAAAAACTATTTACATCAGAAAAAACATTACAGAACAGAATGTTATATCTTAATAGTATAGGAACAAATGAAGTAATAGAATCTGAAAAAATCCAGGAGTTTATATAATCTAGCAAAGAATACTGTAAATGTTACTCTACATGCTCTGCATCATCTGGTCACATATTATAATACACTTCACACCTAATATAAATAAATGGATGTACTAATAAGCACAAAGGACTGTCCACTCTGAACAAAATGACTACAGCAGTGACCACTTTTTATAAATCATCACCATGTAGGTAGGACTTCAGCTCAGATAGGAATCAGTTTGGATTGGTCTATTTAAAAACAGTTTAAATAGATCATATAACATATTAAAGCAGTTTAATAAGAGGCGGTGGAGTTCAGTGGAACAGGTTTGTGACAGTGTATGAAAATCTTTGTAGTTTGATCTACAGAAATAATAAGTTTTGATAAAGACAGACACTGAGTGAGAAGTAAAGAAAATAAGTTTTTTCATGTATGATGCATTCAAGCAAGCAAAAAAAAAAAGAAAATTCATCTGTATTTTACTAATATATACCTGAGTGGTGTTACTGTGCTGTGAGCGTTACCGATGTAGAGCTGTGGGGTTTTATGGTGCTGTGAGCGTTACCGATGTAGAGCTGTGGGGTTTTACGGTGCTGTGAGCGTTACTGATGTAGAGCTGTGGGGTTTTACGGTGCTGTGAGCGTTACTGATGTAGAGCTGTGAGGTTTAACGGTGCTGTGAGCGTTACCGATGTAGAGCTGTGAGGTTTAACGGTGCTGTGAGCGTTACCGATGTAGAGCTGTGAGGTTTAACGGTGCTGTGAGCGTTACCGATGTAGAGCTGTGAGGTTTAACGGTGCTGTGAGCGTTACCGATGTAGAGCTGTGGGGTTTTACGGTGCTGTGAGCGTTACCGATGTAGAGCTGTGAGGTTTTACGGTGCTGTGAGCGTTACCGATGTAGAGCTGTGGGGTTTTACTGTGCTGTGAGCGTTACCGATGTAGAGCTGTGGGGTTTTACTGTGCTGTGAGCGTTACTGATGTAGAGCTGTGAGGTTTTACGGTGCTGTGAGCGTTACTGATGTAGAGCTGTGGGGTTTTACTGTGCTGTGAGCATTACTGATGTAGAGCTGTGGGGTTTTACTGTGCTGTGAGTGTTACTGATGTAGAGCTGTGAGGTTTTACGGTGCTGTGAGCATTACTGATGTAGAGCTGTGGGGTTTTACGGTGCTGTGAGCGTTACTGATGTAGAGCTGTGGGGTTTTACAGTGCTGTGAGCGTTACTGATGTAGAGCTGTGGGGTTTTACAGTGCTGTGAGCGTTACTGTGCTGATTGTTATTGATATGGAGCTGTGAGGTGTTACTGTGCTGTGTAACCAACCCAGAGTCCAGGATGTCCTTAGCTGGCACCCAGCTCCTCTCCTCTGGTTCGTATTCTTTCCAGTAGATTAGATACTGGAGATTCCCTCCACGCCGCCACGAGTCCAGCACCTGACAGACACCGTAGATCGGTGTGCCCTCCACCTCCAGCGGTTTGTGACGATGCTTCGCCGAACCCCATTAGGAGACACAAAGGCACCGGGTAGTTTGTGACTGAATGGGTAGTGGAATGTAGTTGCAGGCTGAGGATGTTCCGGTGGAAACTCCGTCAGGTGACGCCTTCTCCAGGGGCCCTGCGACCACAGGCTTAAGGAGGGAAACATGAAAAGAAGGTGAGATTCGGAAATGAGCTGGCAGATCTGTAAGTCACATCGTTGATCTTTTTCATCACTTGGAACAGACCAATGTATTTGGGCTGTAACTTATGGCTACCCTCCCCAAACCTGAGGTCCCATGTGGACATAGAGACCTGGTCCTCAGGCTGAAAGGAGGGGGTCTCCGCCATGACACTTGTCCACTTGCTCTTTAGCACGCCCGATGGCCACCTCGATGTTGCAGTGGATTTGTTCCCATACCTCTTCACGGCGTCTCGTCCCATCGTCAACAGCCGGGATGTCAGAAGGGGTAGTAGTGCAAGGTGCCAAGGGAAGCTGATATCACACAGCACACACTGAAAGGGAGTTACTTGAGTTGCAGAACTAAATCAAATAGTTTTTGTGATTAGATACTGGGACCAGTCAGTGGGGTTACTACTACAAAATGGCCAAAAAAAATTTCCTAAATCTTGATTCACTCGTTCGCATTGACTGTTCGACTGTGAATGATACCCAGAGGTGAGACTGATGTTGATACCTAAATGTTCACAGAAACCTGACCATACTCTTGGAGGGAACTGGAAGTATAAAAAAATCAAAGCACATAATTCTGTGCTCTCAGAAGATCTGACAGAAAAAAGGCCAATCCAACCTGAAGGACTGCCAGTTGGACAGGACCAATCCAACCTGCCCAGCTCTGAGAAGAGGAAGAAGGAGGTGTTTCATGTGGGTGGCTACATAGCTGAATGTGTTGCTGCTTTAGTGGCAGGTTTAAGGCTTGACTCCCAGACCCACACATGGCCAACTGGAAAAAAATATGTATTTTCTTCACCTTCAGTCTGTTGATATGTATTTGTATTGCTGTGATTGTTATTGTTCTCCGCCCATATAAAGCTGTGGTTGCTGCTGATTCAAAAATCTGCTCAGAAGTCGGACGGTGAGTGTTGCTGAACCTATAAATTCACAAAATGTTGCTCTGGTTTTATTAATCTTGTTTGCAATTATATCTGCTTGGTATCTGCAATATAGTGAAAACAACAATCAACTCAGTGGCAAATTCAAATTCTGGACAAAAATACACAGTGATTTATTTTTCCAAATTAATACAAAGATAATGGGATTTTCATAGTCCAGTTTATTAAGGTTTTGTCATTATCTTAAAGGAGAAGGTCACTAAGTGTGTCTTGCTTTCGGTTTCTCAGAGACATTCTAAAGGAAGGCGGCTCGGCGGCTGACGCTGCAATAGCTGCCCTGTTATGTACTTCAGTCGTAAACCCACAGAGCACGGGCATCGGAGGAGGATCTGTTTTCACTATAATGTCAAAAAACGGTAAGGAGGACTCACATCTGCAGGAATCTTTCCACCAGTGAAAGTTTGATCAGATAATATTATTTTTACACATTTCTAGGTTCGGTGAAGATCATCAACTCCAGAGAGACGGTTCCAAAGGCTGTCAAAGAAGACCTTTTATCAGATTGCCCGTGCAGTGAAACAGGTAAAACACAGAATCTGTTATCACTGCCTGTCACTGGATTTACTGGATAAACATGCTTACTGCTTTGTACGACCTACCGTGTTAAGGCATGCACACACATGCCTTCTCACTATTTGTAAGTGCTCAGGTAAAGTGCATTTAGAAAGCGGTCAGATTCCTGTCGTATTTCTGTTTTTGTGTTATTTGTACAGTGGTGGAAATTTTTATAAGGGAAGGAAAAAGTACTGAAAATCCTTACTTAAGTACGAGTACTGGTACTGTAGTGATGATTTACCTGAGAACAAGTAGAAATATTAATAAAGGAAATTACTCAAGTAGCAGTAAAAAATGTGTTTATTGAAAAACTACAGTCTGAAAATACTTCTGAATTGACTTGATGATATCATTGAAAATATTTGCACAAACAAAACTAACGGCAAACATGTTACATGAGAATAAAATCTGAGCTGACTGATCAGTTTCTTTCTGTGTGCCATGTAAAGCACAAGTTTTGCATTAAACTACATGCAATTCATGGTCAGAAGATTATCTGAGTCTTTCTAATTTATCTGCTTCCTACAAAGTAAAAAAATCCCTGAAAGGCTGTGCATAGTTTTGCTGTTTAATTAAGTGTATTTGTATGAGGTTTAAAAAAAAAAACATTTCCAATAAAGTTGGGACGCTGTGCAAAATGTAAATAAAAACAAAATACAATGATGTGCAAATCATTTCAACCCTATATTTAATTGAAAATAGTACAAAGACAACATATCACATGTTGAAACTGAGAAATTTTATTGTTCTTGAAAAATATTTGCTCATTTTGAATTTAATGCCAGCAACGTGTTCCAAAAAAGTTGGGACGGGGCAACAAAAAGCTGGTAAAGATGTGTAATGCTGAAAAAACACCTGGTAGTTGATTGGCAACAGGTCAGTAACATGATTTTGTATAAAGATCATCTCACAGAGGCGGAGTCTTTCAGAAGTAAAGATGAGGAGGGGTTCATCACTCTGTGAAAGACTGCACCATCAATTCAAGAATAACTTGCTGGCCGTGATCTTTGGGCCCTCAGACGGCACTGCATTAAAAACAAACATGATTCTGTAGTGGAAATCACTGCATGGGCTCAGAAACACTTCTGAAAACCACTGTCTGTGAACACAGTTCATCACTGTAGCCACAAATGCAAGTTAAAACTCTAAAATGCAAAGAAGAAACTTTACAAAAACAGGATCCAGAAACGCTGCCACCTTCTCTGGGCCCGAGCTCATTTAAAATGGATTGAGGTGAAGTGGAAAGCGTCTTGCGGTCCAATAAATCAACATTTGAAATTCTTTTTGGAAATCATGGACACTGTGTCCTCCGGGCTAAAGACCACTCAGCTTGTTATCAGTGCACAGTTCAAAAGCCAGTATTCATGATGGTATAGGGGGTGCATTTGTGCACATGGCATGGGTGACGCGCACATCTGTGAAGGCACCATTAATGCTGAACGATATATACATGTTTTGACAACATATGCTGCATCCAGACAACGTCTTTTTCAGGGAAGGCCTTGATTATTTCAGCAAGACAATGTAAAATCACATTCTGCGTGATTTGGCACATTATAAAATGAAAAATACATTTGTTGAGCAGCTGAAATCCTGTATCAAACAAGAATGCAAAACATTTCACTTTCAGAACTACAGCAGTGTCTCCTCAGTTCCCAAACGCTGTGTTAAAGGTGTTTGGGAACTGAGTGTTGTTAAAAGAAGAGGTGACGAAACACAGTGGTAAACATGCACCCACTGCAACTTTTTGGAACGTGTTGCTGGCAGCAAATTCAAAATGGGCATATATTTTTCAAAAAACAATACAATTTCTCAGTTTCAACATTTGAAATGTTGTCTTTGTAGCATTTTCCTTTAAAAATATGGTTTACATGATTACTTCATACAGAATCAGACAATTATCTTTACTTAACACTTAAACAGCTAAGCGGCCTTGAACACAGTTAAAGACACACACTAATGCAGAGAGAGAGAGAGAGAGAGAGAGAGGGAGAGAGGGAGAAAGAGAAAGAGAGAGTGTCCACACGTTTCTCCTCCTCGCCTACAGAGTTCACTTTCTCCTGAATTCTAGAGTAGTTATGTCATCTGACCTTCAGTAGTGGCCATTTTGTGTATAACCACATGGTCTAGACTTTGTTCTTTGCAAAGTCTTGTTCTAGTCAAGCTAAGCAATTCTAAGCGTTCTGTTTCTGGATCTGCTTTCCTGGTTCTGGTCTTTTGCTTTGTATTCTGGTTTCTACGTTTTGATTTGTGTTTCTGCTGTGAGGGATCTGTATGTGATTACCCAGAATTGACCCTGCCCGTACAAGAGACTGTGATTTTGCTATATTAAAACTGTACCTGTCTCCAAGCCTTAGTTTTGAGGCTTAAGCTGACAGAGAGAGCGATAAAGACAGAGAAACTGATGGAGTCCCTGAGATTTTAAGCTGAGATCGAAGAGTAAATTTGTCTTTGTTAATGCATTTTAGCCCTCTGGGGTCCATCCATGCATCAAATTCGATGTGTCCATATATCTTTTTCTATCTTTGCAGTAATACGGCGCAGAAATACGGTTCAAACACTTCCTGAATCTGTAGAGTCGCCCTTTCCATTCCATCTTATCACGAGATCATACGAGACTCACATCCGGAGTTATGAGCCTATGAAGAGGGGCTGAGATACACGCCATCTCCCTCTCACCGTGTGGAACTGGTGGATTCGTGTGTCCATCTACATTCTGTGTGAAACTGACCGACGGACACTCAGGAAATCACTAAGCACTGACCATCACGCCGGAAACCCTTCATTCTTCATTCAGTCCACATCGGAGACTCATGTGAAACGGCGTGCAGAGAGTTTACAGCTGAAGCTGCTGCAGCAGTTTTGGAAAGTAGTGATGAAGATAACGGAGCATTTAGATATGAAACATATGAGGATCATGTTATATGAAGAGCCTTTAAAGGAGAGTTTAAGAAATCGAGAGAACGCCCCCAGACTCCAGAACGTTAAGTAAGTGACAAGCCAGCAACTGTAAAGTTTTTTTTTTTTTACCATCAGCCATGAGACGCCAGCACTGCTACGAATCAGAGCCACAGACCTCGACTCTTCTCTCCTGATTTCTTCTCGGCCGTCTGCCATCCTTCAACGCAGTCCAACCAACATTCAACTGAAATCCATTTTCATTTTATCTGCTGCTCTGGCCTGGGTGACTTCCCTGGCTACTGACACTCTCTCTGCCCTGACTCGGCACTTTCAGAATGCTGGCAGTGGTCTCAAGTCTGGGCGGCTTGCATGACTCACATACCTCCACTCCTGCCCCTACAAGCAGCAGTTGAGCTCCATTTACTCCCATTCATTGAGGACTCGCAGGCGCCCTCTGCTGTTTAGCAGTCCTGTTTTTTGATATAACGGGGGGATACGAAGTGGCCAGGCTCCTCATAAACCGGCTCTGACATGACTACAGACTCTCACAGATCCACCTATCAGCGCTCGTCTTTTCCGGACTTCTGATTTGCACTCACACCTCTTCCATATTACCTTGTCATTTAGTTCAGTATATAAGCCCAGGCTTTAGGCTAAGACAACTTTCATCACCCATGTCCCTACTGAGCGTTTCTCTTGTGTATCTGTTGGCTGACCTGTGTATGACCTGTTTTCTGTTCACGACTTTGATTTCGGCTGTTCCCTTTTGTTCTGTTTTGGTGTTCTGGTTTTCAGCTTTCTGCTTTGGATTTTTGGATTTTGGATGACCTCTTTTGTTATTAAAGACCTTAATTCAAGCCTTTGCTGTGAGCGTCTGGTTCCATCTGCCACTGTTACACACAGACAAGAAATATTTATATAATTAAGTTTTATTTTTTATTATTCAACTAGGCATACTAGGCATGTTGTTTGTACATCCAAAAAAGAAAACGTTAAAACATTAAAATGACCAAAATAAAGTTGAGTCCCAGTGTTTGTCATGGTCATGAGAATAACCCTTTCACACCTACTAGCAGGACAATAAACAAAAAGCATACAAGCCAGGCACACAGATAGACCCGAAGGGGGCTTGAGCCCCTGCCCCTTTGCACTCAGACTGTACAAGTGCTGTCTTGGTTGTTTATATTACCCCAGCTCTTCTTCCTTTTCCACTTCAGCAAGGCTGGTTTTTATGAGATCGATCGTGGTGCCTCTTCTGATGCAGTACTGACTGTCAGTAACCTGTAATCTGGAAATCCCACCAATAAAACGCTAATAATCTATTTAAGAAAGTGTCACGTTCCATAATGTGGCTATTTTGAACAACAGCCAAACGTCATGTCAGCTCTACACTTTACATTATTAAAATAAACATGGATTATAAACAATGATAAGACTCTGAAGCTCTTAACTCACTCAGACATGGCTTTGCATGCTGGCACCTGAGATTTAGTCTCACAACATACATGTGCTCACCACCCTGTGATTTACAGAACGCTCTCTCTTTCTCTCTGTAGGAGGTATTGTTTGGATGGGTGTTCCCGGTGAGATCCGTGGTTATGAGCGTGTTCACAGGCTGTACGGTCGTCTGCCATGGTCCCGTCTGTTTCAGCCCACCATCCGCCTGGCCAGAGAGGGGGTCAAAATGTCCAAAATAGTTGCGCGTTATCTACATGTCATCAGAAAATCGCGGTGCACGGTATTTCACAAAGACATTAAATTATACACTCACATACTCACAAACAGGAGCACATAAAAACTCACAGCACTGCTGTGTCTGATCCACTCGTACCAGCACAACACACACTAACACACCACCACCACGCCAGTGTTACTGCAGTGCTGAGAATGACCCACCACCCAAATAGTACCTACTCTGTGAGGGTCCATGGGGGTCCTGACCCCTGAAGAACAGGGTAAAAGGGGCTAACAAAGTATCAGAGAAACAGATGGACTACAGTCTGTAACTGTAGAACTACAAAGTGCACCTATATAGTAAGTGGAGCTGATAAAATGGATAATGAGTGTAGAAACAAGGAGGTGGTCAGAATGTTATGCCTGATCGGTGTATTTCCATATATATGAACATGTATGTTGTCATAACACACAAACTTCAGCAAGAAGATTTGACATTTACGCAATTAGGATACGTTGAATCACAAAAATACACAAGATTCTTCTAAAACAAAGTAGTTACAGATATGCTCAATCAGTAATTGTAATTGTGTTGTTTTTTCTCATGTGATCTTCTTAGGAAACACAGAATGTATGTCCTGTGTTTATTATACTACATTAGTATTACAACAGCCCTACAGACCGTAGGTCACTCAGAAAAAGTCCAACTCCAGTAATCAGGCCTGTGACGTTTCTCTCCCCCTTTGTATCTTTTTCTCAGTCAGTTGTTCGAGGACGAAAAGGGAAGGATGCTGAAGGAAGGGGACACTATGAAATTTGAGGAACTTGCCGATACCCTGGAGGAGATAGCAGAGAACGGAGCAGATGAATTCTACACAGGAGAAACAGCCGAAAAGCTTCTCTGTGATATGCAGCGAGCAGGTGATAAACCTTGGGTTTAGATCAGTCATTCTGCTTTACTTTGCAAAGGGTGCCCCACACATATCTGTATAGTATTGTAGCGTGTTCAAGCATGTCTGTGCTCTGCATTGTTTATTTACCGGGTTATTCTGCTAAGGACTCTTATTCTGAAGGGAGGGACCTGCCTGTGTTATGCGTAGTTCAGAAAGAACTGGGTCAGTTGGAGCTGAGCGCTGAGGGAGAGCAGATGTTAGTTGAGAGCTTAGGCTACGGCATAGCTGTGGCCAACTACAGCTGATTAATAAAGCACAAAGACTTGTGCATCAGCTGTGTCTCCTTTAATAGCACTAAAAGCTACAGTTTAAAGCTACTGCAGTGTTCACCACTATTAAAAGAGTATCATGGTGCTTTATTAATCAGCTGTTGTCGGCCGCAGCTACGCCATACATAAGCAAAGCTTTTCTCTGCCTAACAGCTCGTTCTCTGACTCAGCTCACGTCTCTTTCTATCACACACACACACAGGGGTGCTGTCTAGCCTCACCATCTCCAATAACAGCCTTAGCAAATTAAACCCAATAAATAAATGCTGAAGAGCAAACAACCTAAACTAAAAGTCAAAAATATTCCTTGAACATGCGGCACTATTATTTGTTTCTATTGTTTCTACTATGTCATCTTTTAGGCCATTGCATGGTGTGTTAATTATGACTAAAGCTAATATAAAAAATGACGTTGACCCACTGATATAGTTGCAGTTTAGAAACATACTAACACAAAATTAACCATACTGACCACCATAATGACCCACCACCCACAGCAGCGAACACCACTGTTACCTTGCTCCCATACGCCCCCAAGATCAGTTGTCATCAAACGTCTTCCTAGAGATCTATTTTACAGGGTGATTCAAGAAGACTTGTCTGACTTCAAAATTTTCCCTTGTAAATCGTTACAGATCAATGAACTAAACTGTAAATGGTTTAAATGAGCATAACATTTATTATGTAATTGTACAAGGTCTCAGTATGAACCTCCTCCAGCTGTACAGACAACATCAACACCATAGTCAAACTCATCCCATACTGGATTGAGCGTGTTGGGTGTCGCTGCACTCACGGCTCTTTCAGTGCGATTTCGGAGATCATCCAGTGTTGTGGAACCAACGACGAACGCTCTGAGCTGTTGAAGCTTCACTGCCCACGAAAATCACACTGCACAGTTATGACGGATTCCTTAAATGGTGCAGTAATCACTGTTTGGTGCCTGAAGCTGCACTATTTAAGGTGGAACGGGAAACTTTGACTGAGAAGTTGGCTGATGCACCACTTAAGGTGGAGCGGGAAAATTTGAATAAGAAGCTGGCAAATACACTGACTTCAGCTTCATGTAAGAAGGTGCTGACATTAATCTATTATTACTATCTACATGGATTAAGGAATGCTATAACTTACCCAGCTACAAAGCTTTAACCATCATTGTAAATATATAATAGAGTTAAGATCCTGAATAGACTATTAAATGAAATAAGCTTAATATAAAACCAGAGGATCACATCAACAGGTTCTCTGTGCTTCACCAACCACACGGCCATATCTACACACACACACACACACACACACACACACACACACATCACACAGACAATACACATCACACAGACATGAGTGTGGATCACTGCGTTCCCTCCGTTATATAATCCTGTCCCACTTTCTGAGAGCAATATTCCTGAAATAGTGTAATTTTGGACAGTATCTTTCTTAAACTGCCGCTCTGTAATGGTACTGAATGCAGTCCAGCAGTGATGTTGACCACCCCAAAATGGTGGCACCGTTGACGTGCCTGGCTGGACCCAACGTGGCATCTAGGTATGTGTATCTACGGTTACACCACACGTGTCAGCCTCCAGTCCTCACAGGCCAAAACACTGAAGACTTCAGCTCACTGCCTCATTAAACACACCTGATTGAGCTCATCAGCTAATTATCAAAGACTTCATGAACTGAATTCAGAGCGTTAGATGACGGTGAACACTGATCTCTGCAGCACTTTGGCCTGGAAAGTCCCCAGTTTGACATACCTGTGTTACAGCATCATTGAACATCAGCACGTATTCAGCCTTGCTCATCACCACGTCACGATTGAGAAGATAACTGCTCACATTCACTGCAGGTTCAAAAGTCCCAGCTTGCTGCAGTTTAAGCCATTCAAGCAATTATACAACTGTAGTACAGCTCAGGCACAACTCAAACCCTAGTATCTGATCCGGCTCTCCAGCTCTCAGGCTACATCTGACAGCTCCACAAACCTGTGTGCTAAACTGTGTGTTATGTTGTGTTTAAGGTGGTAGTATCACTCTGGAGGATCTGAGATCAGTTGAGGTGTCTGAGTTGGAACCCTGGAAAGTGTCTCTGGGCGATTATACCATGTACTTCCCCCCTCCGCCTTCAGGGGCCTCAGTGGTCAGCTTCATCCTCAATGTTATGGAAGGTGAGAGAACTGTGTTACTAACTGATCTGATTTTCAGTTGATGGACTGATGATTTTCACCAGACAGTTCTATTTTGTCTGAAGTATTGTCACGGTGATGTTCTGTGTGTTCTCCAGGCTACAACCTAAATCCAGCCTCTTTAGAAAGAAAAGAGCGTGTGCTGACCTACCATCGCTACGTAGAGGCCTGTAAATTTGCTAATGCACAGAGGAAGTTAATGAAAGACCCCAGATTCAACAATATAACAGTAGGTCCTTGGATGAGATGCCTGAATTGTTTACACACAGAACAATATGGTAATGTGCTTAGCAGAATTGTGTCACTAGATTTATGGTTTGGGGGGGCATTCTCTGGTTTTACTTTATAGCTCCCCAGAAGAAGTAAAAATGGCCTCAAATTGTCTGTTAGTCATAAATGTTTTAAGCGGCATAAAATCAGCCAGAAAATATCAAGATAAGTGGTTTTGATTGGCATTCCTCAATATACACCGATCAGGCATAACATATGACCACCTCCTTGTTTCTGCACTCATTGTCCATTTTATCAGCTCCACTTACTATATAGGTGCACTTTGTAGTTCTACAGTTACAGACTGTAGTCCATCTGTTTCTCTGATACTTTGTTAGCCCCCTTTTACCCTGTTCTTCAGTGGTCAGGACCCCCATGGACCCTCACAGGTACTATTTGGGTGGTGGATCATTCTCAGCACTGCAGTAACACTGACGTGGTGGTGGTGTGTTAGTGTGTGTTGTGCTGGTACGAGTGGATCAGACACAGCAGTGCTGCTGGAGTTTTTAAACACTGTGTCCACTCACTGTCCACTCTATTAGAGACTCCTACCCTGTCAGTCCACCTTGTAGATGTAAAGTCAGAGACGATAGCTCATCCGCTGCTGCACAGTTTGTGTTGGTCATCCTCTAGTCCTTCATCAGTGGTCACAGGACGCTGTTGGCTGGATATTTTTGGTTGGTGGACTATTCTCAGTCCAGCAGTGACACTGAGGTGTTTAAAAACCCAGCAGCACTGCTGTGTCTGATCCACTCAGACCAGTGCAACACACACTAACATCACGTCAGTGTTACTGCAGTGCTGAGAATGATCCACCACCCAAATAGTACCTGCTCTGTGAGGGTCCATGGGGGTCCTGACCACTGAAGAACAGGGTAAAAGGGGGCTAACAAAGTATCAGAGAAACAGATGGACTACAGTCTGTAACTGTAGAACTACAAAGTGCACCTATATAGTAAGTGGAGCTGATAAAATGGACAATGAGTGCAGAAACAAGGAGGTGGTCATAACGTTATGCCTGATCAGTGTATACGATAATAGTAGATATTAATGGACATTTAAACCCGTCCTCAGTGCTGGACACTGTCACCAGCTTGTGTGCCTCTGTGTGTGTTGAACAGAAGGCATATGCTATAACTGAAAAGGAGTTTGCTGACCGCATTAGGAAGATGATCACAGATGACCAAACCCACGATAATCAGTACTACAACGTCACTCCTGAAGTGGACACACAGGGCACCTCTCATGTGTCTGTGCTGGACGAGGATGGCATGGCTGTGTCCGTCACAAGCTCCATCAACTACTTGTGAGCAGATCTACTCTCACTTTAGCCATAATGCTCAGCAATGTGCAATCAAGGCAAAGTAGGAATTAAAATACAACCCTGTTTCCAAAACAGTTGGGACGCTGTGCAAAATGTAAATTAAAACAGAATGCAATGATGTACTAATCATTTAAACCCTATATTTCATTGAAAATAGTACAAAAACAACTTAAATGTTGAAACTAAGAAATCTTATTGTCTTTTGAAACATATATGCCCATTTTGAATTTGATGCCAGCAACATGTTTTAAAAAGTTGGGACGGGGGCCTGTTTACCACTGTGTTTCATCACCTCTTCTTTAACAGCACTCTGTAAGTGTTTTTGAACTGAGGATGTGCAATGTCCATGATTTCCAAAAAGAATACTAAATTTTTATTTGTCAGACCACAGGACACTCCATTTTAAGTGAACTCGGGCCCAGAGAAGGCGGCGGTGTTTCTGGATCCTGTTTATATTTGGTTTCTTCTTGCATTTTGAAGCTTTATCTTGCATTTGTGGATGCAGTGATGAACTGTGTTCACAGACAGTGGTTTTCAGAAGTGTTTCTGAGCCCATGCAGTGATTTCCACTACAGAATCATGTCTGTTTTTAATGCAGTGCTGTCTGAGGGCCCAAAGATCACGGCCAGCAAATACTGGTTTTTGGTCTTGTCCCTTGCAGAAATTTCTTCAGATTTTCTGAATCCGTGCAGTCTTTCGCAGAGTGGTGAACCCCTCCTCATCTTTACTTCTGAAAGACTCCGCCTCTCTGAGATGCTCTTTTATACACAATCATGTTACTGACCTGTTGCCAGTTAACCTTAATTGTTGTAAGATGTTCCATCAGAATTTTTTTAGCATTACATAACTTTTCCAGTCTTTTGTTCACCCTGTCCCAACTTTTTGGAACATGTTTAAACATGTTCAAATTCAAAATGGGCATATATTTTTCAAAAAACTCTGTTTCAACAGTAGAGTTTAAATAGATTTCACATCATTGTGTTCTGTTTTTATTTACAATTTGCACAGCAGCCAAACTTTTTTGGAAATGAGTTTGTATTAAGGACAAGGCTCTGATGATTACTAACCATTATTACCTTTCGTGTCAGGTTTGGATGTGGAGAGTTTTCACCCCAGACAGGCGTCATCTTTAACAATCAACTTGCAGATTTTTGTGACAGAGCAGACAAGATTCAAACTGGTGAGTCGCTTGTCTACAGGTATTTTATAGGGCAGAGGTCTTTAATTAAAATTCATTAAGGTCCAGTTAAAGAAAATTTCCACAAACAAAGGTCCAGAACATCATAATGTCTAACTTGCATTATGATTCAGTGTCATATACTGTTTACTGAAGTAGCCTAGTAGGTATATCAACATCTTATACAGTCAACAACTGAATGTCAAATCAAATAAAGTACAATTCAGTAACATTTCAACAATAATTGTCAGTTTTCTCTTTTTAGAGCACAGCATGTAAAATAATCTGGCTCACTTTTTTCTCCAACTGTCTCGCCTCGTCCCTCCCCTGTGTGTGCATCACTCGAGTGCTCAACATAATGCACAGATCTGATTGGCTGAGTAGCGTCACGTGTGATATTTACAACGCATGTGATTGGTCTGTGACTCTCCCGGGTTGCTAAACTGGTACTGTGAAGGCTAGAAAAGCTACGCTGATTAAAACAGGACCACCTCGTCGAAATTAAATAATTCTCCACAGTTTACCGGTTATAGGTCCAGATCCGCATAGGACAGCGTCTGGGTCCGGACTCAGACCGTGGTCTGCCTATTAGTGACCTCTGTTACAGGGAATACCCTTTACATCCTGTTTTGGATGGGAAGACACATCAAAGACACACTTAACTACTAGCTGTGTGTATCTCTAAAATCTTAGTTTCATTACATTACCAAGTACTAACACATGGTGATGTTATTCTATCAGTTTATGCCTTCATTGGTACCAAGATTGGTTGAAAGTCTTGATTGCTATCAAGCTTATTAGTATGGATATCAAACTACGCTACATTTTTCTGCACATACACACATACAAATACAATAAAAAATGATTGTGTAGTCAAAGAAATCTGAATTTTTCTCTTGAATAAGCATAGAAATATTAAAAACTTTCATTCTGTAGTTGCTAGCATGCATGCTAATACACAATTATACATTTCTATTGCTTCTGCTGTTCAGTACTCTGTAGACAGACTGACCAGCTGTGTGTCAGATATTTTTCAGTGGATGTCAGAAAAAATTTACAATTAAAATCACAAAAAACTGAAATACTGATTGTTGGTACCAAAACTCAGAGAAAGCTGATTTATGAGAAACTCAGCTCTTTATCTTCATAATCCAAACCTGCAGTAGAAACCTGGGTGATCTTAGACTCTGACTCTTGATCTGCATGTAAACACAGTCACTAAAGCAGCTTTTTATCATGTGAGAAAATCAGTAAAGTTCAGCCTTTTCTCTCTCAGAGTGACGCAGAGAAACTTGTTGATGCATTTGTTACAGCAGAGTTGATCACTGTAATGATCTTCTTACTGGACTTCTTAAGAAAACAACACATCCTTTACAACTCGTATGAAACGCATCAGCATCCTAACAAAAACAAAACCAAGAGATCAGATCAGTCCCGCTTTAAAAGAGCTGCACTGGCTGCCTGTATTGCTCAGGATAGATTTTAAAGTTTTTTATCTGCATCATTTTCTTAAGATTCTACATTAATACTTATAATTTCTTGTATTACTGTAACTGTATTTACACACATAATAGTAGTACTTCTAAGTATGAACTAAAACATAAACAAAGATATTTTAAAAAATGAAATTGATAGGAAAGAGAGTATTCAGACATCACAAAAGTACAGGGAGATTCATTCGAAAGGGGCCCTGAATATTCTGCTGTAACTCCCGTTAGGATGAAGCAATCAGAACCAAAAAAATACACTACAAAGCTTGACGTGTGTGTAGTTGATTGCATTATATGCGATGCTGGAAGTGATCTCTATTTTCTGCCAGACACATTTTGACTCGGCGCTCCATGTTTCTGAACGTATCAGCCAGCATTAGAGAGATTAAACGTTGCAACGACGTCCAGTGCCTACCTCATCGCTCCGATGCAGGGGCATCACAGCCTGTTCGATGCTCCATATAACAGTTATTACAGAATATGCGGGGCCTCTTTCGAGTGAATCTCCCCGTATAACATTAGTACTTAGTTGCAAAGCTGTTGTCGGCAGTTACTGTTGCAAGACGTCTACAGTAAGAAGTGATTCGCTTTTTGCGGCACTGTGGCTCAGTTTTGACGTGTTCCTCAGCAAACCGTCTTCAGTTCCTACCGAATTAGTTCAGCCTGCAGTCCCACAGTAAAAAACTATTTTGAAAAAACAATGAAGTATTTAGATCTTAGATATTTACAAGGATTGTGTTCTGATCTATTTAAACCCAAGGCATTAATAGAGGTAGTAATAAGCTAAATATATACAAAATCATCATTTATGGGGTGCTTTCTATTGGGAGGAGTCTGTCCCAAAAACTAACCCCTAAATTTACACTTCAGATAATAATACTGTATAATTTTTGATGTATAAAAAAAGGTCTTTGATTTATTTTAAAGTGACAAGAAAAATGAAATCTGAAAGATTTAGATTTCAGAATCACTTTTTCACCAAGTGTGTTGCACATACAAGAAATCAGTCTTGGTGAGTCACATGTATGACAGGCATTCAAAGACTTTCCTGACTACAGAGGTCAGAGCTACTGGCCTGTAGTCACTTTGTAATTTGCCCGTATGCTCAATATTTTCTGCGTGTTCTTCTTTGTAAACGCCACAATATGTTAGGACTAAGCTAGTGCTGGTGAACATGAACTACTGGCCATTCTAGATTGAACACAGCCATTTGAATCTTGTAAAGATATTCCATATGTTTTATTTGAAGCTTGTAACATATATTAACATATATTTGAGCTTGTATTTATCAGTATACAGTCCCAGATTGTGATCTATCATTAAAACAATATTAATGATCAATATAACAATATAATGAAGTGTCAATGTTAATTTATGTTAACAGATTTAACATTCCAATCCAATGTTGATTCTTAATCACAAAATTATTGAATTATTGATGAACTGTTTTCACAGACAGTGGTTTTCAGAAGTGTTTCTGAGCCCATGCAGCGATTTCCACTACAGAATCATGTCTGTTTTTAATGCAGTGCTGTCTGAGGGCCCAAAGATCACGGCCAGCAAATACTGGTTTTCAGCCTCGTCCCTTAAATACAGAGATTTCTCCAGATTCTCTGAATCTTTTAATGATATTATGTACCGTAGATGATGAAAAGCAGAAGTTCTTTGCTATTTTATGTTGAGAAATGTTATTCTTGAATTGTTGCCCTATTTGATGGTGCAGTCTTTCACAGAGTGGTGAACCCCTCCTCATCTTCACTTCTGAAAACTCAGCCTCTCTGAGATGCTCTTTATACCCAGTGATGTTACTGACCTGTTGCTAATTAACCTAATTAGTCGTGAGATGTTCCATCAGTGGTGTTTTTAGCACTACACAACTTTACCAGTTTATTGTTGTCCTATCTAAACTTTTTGAAACATGTTGCTGGCATGAAATTCAAAACTGGCATATATTTTTCAAAAAATAATAAAGTTTCTCAGCTTAAACTTTTGATATGCTGTCTTTGCCTTATTTTCAATTAAATTAAGGGTTTAAATGATTTGCATTTTGGTTTTATTTATTATTATGCAAAGCATATTATTTGAAATTATTCAGTATTTGAATTATTGGTTGTATATGGATTATAGTGTGAACCTGTTTTAAAATTCTAAATAATCTTAAAGTATTGCTTATTGATTTCGGTAGCAGCCACAACAAGGTGGGATCGGTACATCTCTATTAAAGATTGTCTTTTTGTGTGCTTTTGTGTGTAGGAGAACGTCCCCCCTCCTCCATGGCTCCCATGATCCTTCGCTCCACAAAAACAGATGACTTGATTATTATTGGAGGATCAGGGGGCACCATGATCACCACCGGGGTGACCATGGTGAGTTTGGGTCCAGAAATGGGTTAATTACATTGATCTTTGAATTCTTATGCAGCACTGTGTGGTAAAGTTTAGAGAACTGAATGCTGTGGTGTATTTCTGATCAGTGATGATATTTACAAGTGGTTTCTGAAGTAATTTTTCCAGCCTTGTTTTGAAGACATTATTCTGATATTGCAACCTATTCAGGCTCTCATGAACTACCTGTGGTTCGGAAACAGTCTGAAACACTCCATCGCAGAACCTGTTGTGTTTGTGGACGGCAAGAATAGGCTCAGCTTTGAGACCGACTTTGACGAGGTAAGAAAGCTGTGGACCTCGAGACACTCAGCTTCATAGACAGGTCTTGCATGCGAATGTTGATGACTGTTAATTCTCTCTCTTTCAGGAAGTCATAGAGGCCCTCAAAGACCGTAAAGACACAGTTAAATACAAAAAGTATTTCTATAATGTGGTCAACGCGATATCAAAGCGAGGAGGCACCATCTACGCTTATTCAGATATTCGGAAGGATGGCGAGGCTGCCGGCTACTGATCTGTTCCTTCTTTACCGCAGAAGATCACAGTACTTCAATTTTGGCATTTTTGAAAATGTTGTGTGGAAGTAAAATTTGGTGTTTTGAAAAAGTTTTGTGGAACATAATTTTTTTTTAAGTTCTGATCAAGAAATCACAAGTAGAAGATTTGTAGAAATTCTTGTTTGTGTGTCTGAGATGGAAGGTTTTCTATAGGCTTTGATCTTTGGTTTTATTCAAGTGAATTTCCTAAATATTTAAATTTATATCTCAAATTAGACTTTTTTTGCAATGTAATGATTTTGTGTAACATCCTGTCTACCAGAGGTGAGGACTTAAGTCACATGACTTGGACTTGAGTCACGTTTCCTGACGTAGGCACATACTATGGATTTAGTCGGTCATTCATTTGCAAATGAAATAAACTTGAATGTTGATGAACTACACTGCCAAATATACTGGTACTTTAACTTGCTCCCATTAAATAAATGTCTGACTAGGATCAACCACTCTAGTAGTAATGTTTCCTTCAACAGAAGCTGCAGCAACAAACCTAATAAATTATCCATACATGCCAATCAGGCATAACATTATGTCCTTGTTTCTACGCTCATTTTCCATTTTATCAGCTCCACTTACTATATAGGTGCACTTTGTAGATCAGACACAGCAGAGCTGCTGGAGTTTTAAACACCTCAGTGTCACTGCTGGACTGAGAATAGTCCACCAACCAAAAACATCCAGCCAACAGCATCCTGTGGGTAGCGTCCTGTGACCACTGATGAGGGACTAGAGGATGACCAACACAAACTGTGCAGCAGCAGATGGGCTATCGTCTCTGACTTTACATCTACAAGGTGGACCGACAAGGTAGGAGTGTCTAATAGAGTGGACAGTGAGTGGACACAGTGTTTAAAAACTCTATCAGCACTGCTGTGTCTGATCCACTCGTACCAGCACAACAAACACTAACACACCACCACCACGTTAGTGTTACTGCAGTGCTGAGAATGATCCACCACCCAAATAGTACCTGCTCTGTGAGGGTCCATGGGGGTCCTGACCACTGAAGAACAGGGTAAAAGGGGGTTAACAAAGTATCAGAGAAACAGATGGACTACAGTCTGTAACTGTAGAACTACAAAGTGCACCTATATAGTAAGTGGAGCTGATAAAATGGACAATGAGCGTAGAAACAAGGAGGTGGTCAGAATGTTAATGTCTGTTCAGTGTATACTAACCCTAGCAATATGATACTATGGAGTGTGAATATGGAAATATTTTATTTGTTAAAGAAAGAAAATGGGGGCTTGAGTGCCCTTGAAATTGGTAGTAGGTAAGAAAAAAAAGCTTCTGTCGACGGTCATGCATCCACCGAGTCCCAGCGTGGATCTGGACTCGATCTCCCAGACTCCTCTGAGAGATGACTCCTGGTGGGTCATCGTGCTCCAATTAGCGCATACAGCTCACCTGTACTGTTGGTCATATGACTTGTATAGTTTAGTTTATAAGCCCGGGCTTTAGCCTTAGATGGTTGTGAGGTATTGTATCCATTTTGTGATCTACTGATCTATAATTAGTATTTTATGTTTGACCTTTGCCTTTCGTTCTTTTGACTCTGCTTTTTTGCTCTGCCCTTTGGATTGTTTGCCTCATCATCTGACTCCTGTTTTTTGACCTTTTTGCCTGCATCTTTGACATCTTTGCCTCTCCCTTTTGGACTGTATGCCTTGTGTTATGTACATCTGTTTGTATGTGCTATGCCTTTTGGAATTGACCCCTGCCTGTTTGGTGACGACTCTGGACTTAGAATCTTTCAGTGAAGCCTCATTTGTTTTTTTACATCTGCAAGCGTTTGAATCTGGTTGGCATGTTCCATTGACACATTACTTCATGCGTACATGGAAAGGTGGACTGGACTGCTATTATTAATGAACAGCATTACTTTTATTTTTAGATTTATTTCTAAACATGGTCTTGATCAACTCTGAAATGATCAGCTACTCATAAAACAGTTTAGTACTTTAGTGGAACCTCTGAGCTAATTATGTGAGGAAAAGCAGCAAAAACAATTAAAACATAAGATATTCCTGCAAATATGTTACTTTATATGTGATTATATTTGAATGAGCCAATGAAAAGCTTTATTTTGTCTTAAAAAAGTCAACAAGTGTACAACAATTCCACTAAGCCATGGTAACACACCTAAACAAATAATGCATATGCACTATTGGGCAATTTCAAGTGGAAAATACAGGGGGTTCTGGGGGTCTGGGACCTCCTAGTTAACCTTGTAGACCCCCTGAATGTCTCAGAATCTAAATTCCTGGGGGTCCCTTAAAATAAACTGATGTTATACTGCCCATTAGAGAAAAATAGACGCTCAAATACAGATTCAAAAGCTCGTAAAGCTTGTTGTGCTTTAACCACTTCATATTCTTTTTTGCACAATTAAATGAAAAATACTAGATATGACAAAACAACACGGCTTAAAAACCGCTGATCTGCCCCATCTGAGAGCTGTGTGGGAGTGGCTTATGAGCAGTGTGATTGACGGTTCTCTGTCCAACACTCCTAGCCTGCTCTGCCCCTCTTACAGAACTAACATCATTATTCAGCTTTTACTTTTTAGGAGTTGGTATAGATAAATGAGTGAACGGGTGACAGGCAGCTACAGACATGTGACTCTGAAACTGTTCTGTGTAGGGGTGGGAGAAATATGGTGAAATACATCAGTCATTTATTGGTCAGTGGAACATTATTCACAATGTAAACTTATTACATGTTTACTGTTTCTCTGCAAGAACCAGATTAACCTGATTAGAAAGAAAACAGATTTAGGTTCCCTGAGTCTTTAAGATGTGAGACTGTTCAGCTGCTCAGATCATTTAGAACAAGAGCTCAGTTTCTGAACAGTACATATTGTAGTACTATTTGGAAACTTAAAGGGGAATACCACTCATTTTTCAAAATGTATACATAATTCAGTGATTGAGATGTGATTCAGAGTGGTTTGGTGTGAAATGGTTCAGATTTCTTTACAGTGATGGTCATAGGAACCAGGGGTCGCCATGACTACAGCACAAATATAGACATTTTATTTACTATCCAGAACCACCAGTGAACCTACACGAGTCTTCTGAGTTTATATGGAATGTTGATGATGGAAAATAGTGGAAAATCTGAAATATACGTTTTCTTTGGGGACTATTTTGCCTCACAGCACCCTGCATGTATCCCTCCATCATGAATGGAGTTTACGTTCTCAAATTTTTTTGCCTTGATCAGTATGAATTTAAAGAGGAGAGCCAAATCAGGCAATGAACCCAAACACAATCTTACAAGCCATAATCTCTGCTGTCTGCTCTGGGATGGGATACACCTCAACCCACCAGGTAAATGATCGATGATTACCAGTATACACTTGCCTGAGTTTGAGAGGGGGAAAGGACCAACAACATCCAGATGCACCCGATCCATGGGTGCTCCAGCCTTGTACAACTGCAAGGGAGCTCTTCCAGTCAGACCAATGGATTTGCTTGCTTGACCTTGTGAACATTTCCAGAAAAAGAGCTGAATATCCATTCCCATTCTGTGCCAGAAAAAGTGTTACTGGGCTTGATAAAGCATTTTTTCCAACCCCTAGATGACCAGACAAGGGTGGGCTGTGGCAGGAATCTATAACTTTCCTCATAAGAGACTTGGGCATGAGCAGGCTGAGTCAAGTGAGGGTCCCAGCATCATTCTCTTATCGGTAGTTCAGCACTTCCTGATGACACTCAATCTGGGGTTAACACAGCAACTATTTTCTGAAAGCTGACACTGGAAATCTGTATTTTTCCTTTGAAGCTCATATTATGCACTGCAAATCTCAGAGATAGTAGTTGCAGAGCCCCAAAAAAGGCCTGGGTTTTTGGAGATTTTCGCAGCTTGGGGCTTGGATCGGGAACACTGCTGTATAAAATAGCCTGTCACACTGCAGTGGAAACACACAGCCTTGCTGCTTGTAGAGGGGCTTCAAGATCAGGAACAACCAGAATGATGGTAACAGCCTAGCTGGTGTGTGTTGTGCCACCCCTGTTCAAAGCTTGGGGAAGACACATGTGCAGCAGTCCCATTACGAGCTAAGGACACAATGGCAACTTGTAGCTGCTCTATTTTATTCAGCTGGTGTACAGTTGCACAGTTCATGGTCTGTGGCCCTGTGCATCTACATCTCAGCCTAGCATAGCCCTGAAGTTATACTTGTGGGCCATAAGTGTGTGTGGGGGTCTTTATTCATCACCTCACATGCGATTAGTTGGCTGAGGAGCACCCTTAAAAATGCATCAGCAACCAACTGCTCTTCAAATTCACTCCTGGATATGCCAGAGTGACCAGCTGACACACTTCTTACGCAAATTCAGGTGATAGCTTTTGATAACTCACTCAAGCTTTGACATGCAGTGTTATGTGGTTAAATCTGACCATACCGCTGATTTGACCTTTCTGTCAGGAAAACATAATCTTCTCTATAACGCTCTGGCAAGGAACAAACAAAATGGACACCAGGCCCTCTCAGTTGCTAATGCAGCCTGTTTACTCTCTCTGCACTTGTCCAAGACTGCCTCTGTGCCACTCGTTTAAAGTCATTTTAAACTTGTTTTTTGCTTTCTGCTGTACACATGTGCCACTACAAAGAGCTGTGGTGCATGGGGAGTCTCTATGTACTAGCCCGTCGCGGTCCGCAGGTTAACTTTACTAGCCTGCTCCTTTTGAATTTGCCAGCTTATTTGGTCCCTGATGTATATAGCAGCTTGCTCACCTCATTTTCTGTGCTGCCCTGGTGCTTGGAAACTGTCCTTTCCTGAGAGACTGTGAGGGGACAGGCCTGGGTAGGAAGTTCACAGACAAAGGGGGTATCGATTAGACACTTTAGTGAAGGCTTTGCTTTTTAAACATACAAGAACAGACTGTCTAGCCCCAGCACCCGAACTATGCTAACGGGTTTAGTTCTGCAGCCTGTGATGAGTCATAAGAACAGGGTGCTGGCTGCTGATTGGCTAATAGAATCACTAGTGCTTTTGCATTCTCCCACTACAATATACTGTTTCAAAGAAACCCCATCAAATTTTGTTTAACTATTTTACAATTAGCACAGAACATGTAAAGACACGCTCTAAAGAACAACTAAAAAAGGCTTCTTTACAAAAACTAAGGTTCCTTTTAAAGCCTGAACCAACCAATGTGATGATCATTTATGAATCTCATTGTTACTGAGCTCTGCTAAAGCCTGAGTAGACTTTTCCTCTGACCCCTCTCCACCCACACCCCACCCCATTATTTTCACTTCACAAAATAATATATCTTGTGAAGTGAAATGATCTTAAATCTAGGCAATATATTTAATATTTCCCATTTTGGGATTGAGGTTGTGCTCTTATAAGATTGTCTAGGTTATTTCTAGACATTAATTTGTTTTAAGTCATTTTATTAAGTAAAATGATC